ACAACGGCACTCACACTTGGTGGTAGTTGCTCGCTCAGGCCACAGGCATTGCATCTCGCTTGCACTCAGCCGCGTTGCCATCTCTTTTTAAATATGGCGCCATCTGTGATTGGCTGTTGGCTGGCATGGGGCGTAACCAGAAAACTGCTGAGGCGCTTTGCGGCAAATGAAGCTTTCGGAATGGCATGGAAAATCAAAGCAAATGCAAGATATGGCAATTGTACTATAAATACATATATACATAAGTACATACATGTACTTTATAGAAACTTATAGGCAACAAGTGCGCCAAATGAGTTTGACTTATGCAATCGATTTGAATTTCAATTGAAGCGCATTAACTCAACGTTAAATAATTCAATTGATTAGCCCCAAGTGGTGCTGCTGCCTGTACAACCTCAACCCTAACAGCACAGCACAGCACACAAACAGCAATAACAACAACAAAAATAAATAAAGTTAACCACCAAAACGCAATGCGATATTGCAATTTAGCTGTCAGTTGACTGCTCTCTGGGCCAATTAACGTGCAATTTTTACTGCCCCAAGACTTGAACTCGAAATCCCACTCGCACTCGCACTTCCATTCGCACTCGCACTCGCACTCGTTTCGATGATTTTGCGGTTTTAAGGCGCACGTCTCTGTTCCAGTAATCTACCCGAACATGTGCAAAGAGTTGTCTGTCTGTGCGCTCGACTGTGTGTAAACAGCAATTATCTGATAAATGCCCGGCGCTGAAAAATTGATAAATTGCGCATATAAACGTTACGCTATGATTATGGCATATAATCGTACTGGTAATCGTACTCTTGTTCCCATTCGCATGCTTTGTTTGTACGGATATGTACTCTCACCATGTAGTTGTAGATTTTGAACGCAATTCCGATCAAACTTTATGTCGTTGCTTAAAATGACAGCATAAGTGCTGTGAGATGGCGGCCTTTCAATGACATGGCCGACCGACCACTCAGCAATTAAGATGACAGAGCCAACAACAACAACAACAAATACTTGTGTTGGGGGAAAGTTCTTGGATGGTCTTGAAGCGGGATATATGCCCTCAACGTTCCTAATGGATGCTGTAATTTGTAAAAGCTAGTAAATCGTTCCTACACACTGAGAGAAATTTCATAACACATATTAATGTTTAATTTCAGCATATTTAATAAACTAAGATTATTTTTAATAAAGTTTAAAATGTTTGCTCTGTTTTAGTCTTAGTTTTAAATACAAAAGTCCGAAAATATATACTTTTATATAATGATTTCTTTATTTCGTAATGGAATTACAAGATAAAATATGTTCAATACAAATGCTATGAATAAAATTACGAATAAATATTTCGAAAAAAGCTTTACCTCTTTAATGCAAAGGAGCTGAAATTCAACACTCAAAGAGCAAGAGCAAAGCATATTCATATTTGAAATTGTTTTAAACTTACATTTAATTAAAAGTCCTTCAAAATCGCAATTGTAATGGCACTGTTGTAGGTTTGTTTTAAATTTTAAACTATTCTTTCTAATTTTTTGTTCTGCTATGGGGATGTATGGGATAATATTTAGAATTCGAAGAGAACAAAACTACCATTAAGAGAAGCAGAAGAATAAGTGGAGTTGAAGAAATTGGCGAAGAAATTGACAACAGGGAAGCATTTCCATTTCAATACAGAATGAAGAAGGCCAAGAAGACACATTTATCTTTTAAATTCATTTTATTTATTTATTTATTTCTGACAAATATGCGAATTCATGTACAACTACCTAGCTTTGCAGCACTTATGAATGTTACACTGCTAAACATCTGAAGAATGAAGAAGAAAGAGTTTGAGCCCGATTGTTTGAAGCTTGTAAAATAATAAGATTTCATATTTTGTAAGTTATAAAGGTTTCGTGTAAGCCAAGAATTCATACATCGAGAAGCGAGGAAATATATTATTCTTTTTTTGAATATCCGCCTATTTTCTTAATGTGCAGGTCTCTGTGAATGCTCTCGCGCCAGAGGTTCCACTAACCCCAGTCTATGATGATGGTTTTAAGGAGAAAACTGGGGAGCATCCGCTTTAAGTTAGGGGCGAAGCCTAGCCAACAAAGCAGGCTCAGTCTGCCGATGCCAACCTTATCCGGCTACTCAGACCTTTTTGTTTTAAAATAGTTTTTTTATTAAGCTAAACCGCTTTGTTAGATATTTAAGTTTTAATTTCAAAAAGTTAAGCCAGAGTGCGAATAGGCACTTCTGACTGCCGTTGAAGGAAATACATACTTTAAAAACAAGCTCCTTTTCCAATTCTCGATTTCGAATTTTCGTGTTCCCCCAAACGAAGTATAAATTGGCAAAACGACATGCTGCTTGGTGCAGTCTCCTTTTCGCGCTGCTCCAATTCTGTTCCACTTTGCTTTGCTTTGCTTAGTTCTTGGCATAGAGAAATGGTTGCTTCAATTTGTTATTTTTCACTTTTGCGGCTCTTTATTTATTTACAATTGGTGGGGGAGGGGAGAGGAAGAAATCCGCCAAGCAGCTCATGTTGTTTTTAAGTGGTGGCGCCAATCGGCCGAGCACATATTCACAATCACAGAGACTGGGATATGGGGGTATATAGGGAATAGGGAATAGTTGTGTATATGGGCATGAGGAGTTCTCTGCTTGCTATGACTTTTGACTGCATGGAACATTTTTGTTTAAACATAAATTTTTCATTTTTTCAAATCAATAAAAGCTAAAAGCGCCAACAGGCCAAACAACGCCACGAGTCCAACACGAAATCCCTACGCAACAGACTTCTACGGAGCTACAGCAGCAACAATTGATATTTATACTATATCTGGGCGTATTTGGTATTTGGAATCGGAATCGTGTGTGTCTGTGTGTTTCTAATTGAGCTTGACTGGAATTATATAAATAAACAAATCTGTAGGCAAGGCAGGCGCATTGTTGTGGTTCCTGTTTATTGTTGTGTTTGTTTCTGTGGCCATCAAGAGCAGCACGTCTTTGGCAGATTGGCTTTTCATTTGATTTCGTTGATTTTTGTTGTGGCCTCAAATGTGCATCACCATCAGCAGCAACAACATCAGTTTGTTGCAAACATAAACACAAGAGCAACAAATTAGCCACAGTCTCCGGCACGATTCTGGCGGCTAATGCTAGCCAACCGGTATGATAAATTCGATACGTCTTGCGACGTTGAGAGATCTCCGATCAGGCTGAGAGATGACGTGCATGGCACTATAATGGCGATAAACGAGTTGTTGTTATGTAAAGTGTGTGAACAACAAACAATTAATTACACTTTTTTTTTTATAATATTGATGCTTACACTTTTAAGGAATCAAAATATAGGTAAAAATAATATTGTGTAGCAAAAATATTTCTCTCAGCGACTTCATCCTTAAAGAAAAAGAACTTATCCAGTTTTTCAAACAAATATCTCCCTATCTGACAACCATGAGATATGACGACCAAACGGATTAAACCTATTTTGCGAATCTCGGATGCAATTTGTGGCGCTTCAACATCAAGATGTTTAGAAATGTATTTCATTGGCAATATTGTTAATTAAGGAATTTGCTTATTTTGTTTGTCGATTCCATAATAATCGGATAGCCAGATTGCTAGGACAGTTTCCTGAATGATAATCCTAATGATTGTAGAAATAAGAACACATGATGTACCTATTATTTATTATATCTATGGGCTTAGCGATAGGCGTAAGAGATAGACAAATACCTCCCTCTCTAAGCTGAACCAAGCAAAAATACTGTTGCCCTTGAAATTATTGTCTTGTCATTATTAATTAATAGTTTTCTTAAAGGCTTTTATGAATACCATTGAATTATCATTTTTTGATTTACAATTAATAAGTATTTTCCTTTATTGCGAGTAAAATAATTAAAGTTATTATCCAAGGTACCGTTTTAAATAAAACCTATTTCATAATTTTGTCTAATTTCACAGTAAACGCTTGCAAAAAGAATTTATTGAATTATTGGCATTTCTCGATAAAAGATTGAGCAATCATTTGAGACTATCATTATGAAATGGAATTGCATCACCTGATAAAATGCCAGTCTTCATTACCTTCAACTCTAATTCAAGTCTGCTTCTATATAGACGACATGACAAGCAGGCAAAGGAAATGAACATACCTTTCATTTTTTCCACCTGTCTGCCCGTATTTCACAATTAATATTAAACACAGATAGCTTTTATTCTTGAAACTAATATAGTGACATATATCGTTTGTTAGATTTGGGCTTCTATTTGGGCTTCTTCCTGTACCCAAAAGAAATGGATCTGACTGAATGAGATCCTGGCTACGCCCATGTGTATATCCAGAAAATAAAAAAGAAGGATGGAAAAAGTCTATATTAAATAAACTACAAGCACTGTGGCGGCAATTGCCTTTTGATCGCCAGCTTCTTCAAAAAAGTTCACATAATCAACAAGAGAGAGAACGCTACGGACAAGCAAGGCCGACAGCGAAATACCCTGTACCGAGACAAGCTTCCGGCACTGAATTATATGATAAAGAGAGAACTTAAAGCGGCAGTTTGTGGATTTGTTTCGCTAATAACAATTCATAGAATTGACCGATTAGTAGATATATAGATATAGATATAGATATATAGATTCATTGTGCAAAGAATATAGATACTTTATGGTGTCTTGTTGCATATCTCGCATAAACCTAATACGTTCACATTTCGCTTTACAATGGAACTGAGTTGGGTTCGTTGAAGTTTTTTCATTGACCATATGAATAAATTATTTTTTAAATGCATCGTGCATTATGAAAAATTTTAATTTTTAATATAAGAATGATTTAATAGATACGGTAAAGGGTATTTTCAAATGCAATCAATAGAGATTGCTAAATGGAGGAAGCGCACCTCCTGTAGTTTATACTTGTAGGCCCTACTTCTGGAGTGCAATTGTTTCTCTAATAACTTTTCCTAAAATTGAGCGATTCGAATAAAATATGTGCCCAAAAGTGAACCATAGTATATTAATTACGGGTATACCTTTTGGTATCTATAGTTTTGATTTATAATTATATTTCACATATCTACAGAGTTTTAAATATATATTTTGTACGTTTGCCGTTGCTTGTGTTTGTGATCTGCCTTTGTGAGGTAGAAATTTAGCAAAGGGTGGGCTCTCACAGTTTTTTTCCCAATGGAATTATTGTTTAACTTACGGTTTGTAATATAGTGCGGGATCTGAAGATGGCTTCCACTGCTCTACATTTCGGTTTTTAAATATGAATATTGCACAATAGCCATATACACTTCGAAAGCTAACAAAAGTGTAATACAAATGAAAAACATTCACATTGTATGCCTTTAAAATGTACTTACCGCATAAGGGGCAACATATTGCAAGGAAAATAAAAATATACGAAGCCACACCTGCACCTGTACTCATTTCTGAAGACGATCTAAGTACTGAAAATGTTGTAATATTATTGCAGAATATTCCGCTCAAATTTCTCTAAAAATGTGCGAGCACTTACTAATTATGGGCCCAACCAGAAAATTTATAAGATAAAATGCCACAACCAGATATGTAACTACTATAGATACGACGACTAGTACTTTGATGTCCTGAGGGACACAGATTGATAAACGGTTAGTATGACTGCTCTTACCAAAAAATGTGCATTCACCTTGAAGAGTCCAATTAACAAACAAATAGGGCCAATCAGACAAATCACATTCACGACAATTAATGAAATATTCGCACTACTATAATCTTAAATTGAGAAAATTCATTTTAGAATGAGCACCATGTCGCAACAGATTATGCTTGAATACTTACCTGTCGATTCGTGTGGCATGAATGTTGACGCCATTAATAATATTCTCCAAACAATCGCCCAAATGACATAGAAAATACACCCAAAACGTAGACTGGCATTGCAGCTGGTGCAACAACAATGATCGACTATTATACACATTTTAATTTAGTTGTTTATGAAATGTTTTTTAAATACTCAATTATACTTATAAATTTTACTGTAGAGAAATGAATTGTTATATTTTGCAAAGCGCTCTGTGATGTCAGTATAAAACTGATATAAAAGATATGTTTTAGAACAGTCTTACAAGCCTTCCTTCTACAAGGTCGTAGTACTAGAGTGCAATTGTTTCTCTAATAACTTTTCTTAAAATTTGCAGCAAAAGTAATTTAATAACGTGTCTAGAAACCAGGAGATTCCATATACCAAGTTTGGTTAATGTGCGCTCAGCCATATCTGAAAAATATGCGATCATTCAGACGGACGGACACACGTGTCTAGATCGATTCCGTTCGACATGTTGACTAAGAATATACTTGTATATAAACTTTATGAGGTCGGAGATTCTTCGTTCTGCCTGTTGCATATCTTACACAAACCGAATTCTTAATTTCTTTATACATCCAGTACACAGATGGTAGAAGAGTATACTAGCTTTGTGGGAATCTATATAAACCACAACTTGTTTATATTACAAGCTCGTTATTTTTTCCAATTTTTGTTTATTTTTCAAAATTAACAATTAACAAAGAAATAGGGCCTACCAATCAAATCACATGCAGGACAATCATTATGGCATACGTGTCTCTAACTCTTATACTTGTAGTCTCTGAGATCTATGTGTTCAGACAGACGGACAGGCGGACACACATCATAAAGTGTGGAGTCGGGGATGCCTTTGCATTTTGCATAAAACTAATATACCCGTTTTGGCCTACGAGTTCAGGGTATAAAAAAGCAACGTAAACGAATGTAAGAAATGCAACAATACAAATAAATTGCAATCATTCATCAAACAAAAGTCGGCAACTGCAAAGCCACAAAGCGCTGCTCGTTGCATTCAACCAATGGTTGTTGTTGCTGCACTTTAAGTTGCGAGTAAAGTGCAGTAGCGCGGCTGCCACAATTGTTGCACCTTATTTGGGCAAATGGACGCCGGGACAAACGAGAAATAAACCAAGGACAGTTTCGTTCAGTTTTTTCTACGAATTTCAGCAAAGGCATCATCAGCAACAGCAACAACAACAACAACACCAGTAAGAGCAGCTCATAAAAGGAGGGCCAACAATCAAGCATGACGAAATGAAAGCCGCTTTAGCAACTTACATGCAAATGTACACTCAGAAAAATGTATGTAGTATATGATTTAGGTAGAAAAGTGTTGTACAATTTTGGCACTTGCACTTTGACTGAATGAGATATCCAAAAAAATTGAATCGAAAAAAAATTGTAGTAAGAATACAATAAAACACTTTAAAAAGGATCTTGAACGGGTACAGTCACTACTAAGAAACAACAAAACCCATCAAGACAACCAAAATTTAAGCCAATCACAATAAACTGGCTATAAAATATACAGATTTAAATCAAAGTTACAATAGTGTAAATAAATAAAACGACGGTTCAAGAAGGAACTACAAAAAAACAATCGTTGCTGTGAGAGTTTAAAAAGAAAGGCGAACAAAATATAACTAAAAAAGATCTTTTGAGCTAATTAACTTAATAGGAAATAGATGGCAAAAATATTGAAGACGCCTAAAAAAATTAATGCATATATTATAATGACATTTATCAGATTTTCAAAAGCAAGAAATCAGTCTCGACAATGGGATTCTACTGAAAAATGTAATAAATAAAACGTGGATTTTAAAAATGCTTGTACCTAATAAATTGTATTGATAATAAGTGACGTGATGTGATTTTTTTCAAATATTACAAGTGCTTGACAGTTTCAATTTCAAAATCAACTTATGGCAGTAATTTTGTTCAGTGTAACAGCAGCTAGTGGCGGCTTGAGCCAAACTGAAGACAGAGCTGCTCTGCTGATATGCAAATGTCCCGCAAAGTGAAATAATGCGCTAAAGGGACAAACGTCAGTCCAGTCGTTCCAGTCCTTGTCGTCATTGTCGTTCTCAGCCTCAGCCTCAGCCTCAGAGTCAGCCTCATCGTCATCCCGTCCGCGTCTTTGCATCGGATTTGTCTTTAGAACAAAGGCCCACAAAGCCGAAGCCGCAAAGTCAATTGTTCGAATGCCGCCTGCTGCTGGCCTGGTCGTTGCCTTTAACTCCGGATTAGAGCATGTACAGATATTTTGCGTGAGTCCAATAGATAGCCACACTGTTGCCGAGCTCCTGCTGGGCATGCGAGAAGATTGCACATTGAAAGAATATTATTTTCGAAGGCACTTGCTTTCACTTCGCCTGCCCGAATGCCGTTTGCCGTTTGCCTGCCTTTCTCTAAATATTTTGATAGCCACCACCACCTCCGACGCTCGTTCTGTTTATGTGTGACATATAACACGAGTGGTTCGCTTTGTTGTGTGTGGCGAGTGGTGTGTGGTCTCAGATTCTGATACTGGCAAGTGAAAGCGAGGCAAAGCACTTGAGCGCACCATTAACCTACCGCAGTCTGTGAAAATGCTCACAACAAACAAATTAAATACTAATAAAAAAAATCTTTCTGTTTTTGTGCCAACTGTTAAACGATTTACGACTTCCTTGCCAGCTACTATATACCCATATACTAGTACTATATGCGTATGTACAGTTCCTCTGTGTGTGTGTGTGTGTGCCAGCACTGATTTGCAGAGCTAAGCACACGATAGAAATCTTGAGTAGGGTTTGAAGGCTTTCATTCAAATGGGCCCCTACTTTTTTAATTGATGCAAGGCGACTAGCAAAGTTAGGTTCACAACAAATTAGTTGCTCTGCTTCCGCTCAGATCTTGAGCTTTAACTTCAGAGCCGGCCAAATAATTCGACGGCCAAGAGAGCTGAGAGAAAAGTCCAGCAGGCAGCCAAACAAAGGCCAGTTGCGCTGATCAGATTAAGTGCTTATAACATGGACATGACTCCATTGACTAACAGCCAACGGTGGCCAACCAAGCCAGAGCCAACCAAAGCCAAGAGACACACGGGGCCAACAACAACTGGCAGCGACAAAGAGTGCAGCTTCAACTGCCGCCGACACATCGGTGGTTGTGTTGATGATGACGACGACCAAGGCGACCAAGACGATCAGGACAGCCAAGAAGGCACAGGCAGGGTGCACTTTTGTCGGCAACAATTGTGGAACCCTACGAGTCTCAGCCTTCTGAGTTGCCAAATCAGCTTTGCCAGCTTAAGAGAGATCATCAGCTTAGAAATATATCTCTATAAAAGTACATTCAATATACCTCAAAAACATTTTTTAAAAAACCTGATAAGCGACATATGCAAGTTTCTGAGCGTTGACGGCTTTATGAATTTAAAAACTCAATCATAGATTTTGAAGTAAGCCGATTCCATTAACTATCATTTAACCAAAAAAAGGGAAGACATTTCTTCAAATAGTTTTTATTGCATTTAAGGATAATTGTGGGAATTAAAAGTAAAAAGTAACATAGTTTTTGAGCTCACTTTTTTATAATTTTAAAAACTAAAATTAGTTGCAGTCTCTAAGTTTCTGAGCGTTGTTGGCTTTTTGAACTGAAGAACTCAATTATAGATTTTGAAGTAAGACGATTCTATTTATATGTTAGTAACCAAAAAAAGGGAAGACATTTCTCCAAATGATGTGTATTGCTTTTACGGATAATTGTGGGAATTAAAAACTAAAATTAGTTGCAGTCTCTAAGTTTCTGAGCGTTGTTGGCTTTTTGAACTGAAGAACTCAATCAAAGATTTTGAAATAAGACGATTCCATTTATATGTTAGTAACCAAAAAAAGGGAAGACATTTCTTCAAATAGTTTTTATTGCATTTAAGGATAATTGTGGGAATTAAAAGTAAAAAGTAACATACTTTTTGAGCTCACTTTTTTATAATTTTAAAAACTAAAATTAGTTGCAGTCTCTAAGTTTCTGAGCGTTGTTGGCTTTTTGAACTGAAGAACTCAATCAAAGATTTTGAAATAAGACGATTCCATTTATATGTTAGTAACCAAAAAAAGGGAAGACATTTCTCCAAATGATGTTTATTGCTTTTACGGATAATTGTGGGAATTAAAAACTAAAATTAGTTGCAGTCTCTAAGTTTCTGAGCGTTGTTGGCTTTTTGAACTGAAGAACTCAATCAAAGATTTTGAAGTAAGCCGATTCCATTAACATGTTAGTAACCAAAAAAAAGGGAAGACATTTCTTCAAATAGTTTTTATTGCATTTAAGGATAATTGTGGGAATTAAAAGTAAAAAGTAACATACTTTTTGAGCTCAGTTTTTTATAAATTTAAAAACTAAAATTAGTTGCAGTCTCTAAGTTTCTGAGCGTTGTTGGCTTTTTGAACTGAAGAACTCAATCATAGATTTTGAAATAAGACGATTCCATTTATATGTTAGTAACCAAAAAAAGGGAAGACATTTCTCCAAATGATGTTTATTGCTTTTACGGATAATTATGGGAATAAAACACAATTACAACTGAAAAAGTAACATACTTTTGGAGCACACTTTTTAATCTTTTTAAAAACTAAACTAAGTTCCAGTTTCCAAGCTTAGAGAGAGCGAAATGTAAAAAGAATAATTATATGAGAATTATAGGAGAATAAATAATATTGTTTGTATATTGATTTAATCAATCGAGTGGCGTATTTAAATTTAATTTTTATCAAAAATATAAACTGACTTTAAAGCAAATTCACCAAAAAAAGGGGCTTATGGCATCCAGATTTGAACCGCAGACGTGTCCAGACGTTCCAGACTAAGGCCTTATGATATATTATTGGATGCGACTGCTACGTTCGGAGTTCTATATTGCACCATGATCTAAGTTTGGGAGCCGTTGAAGCTGAAACTGGGTGAACCACTGCAACAGTCCAGGCCCAATAACACGGCTCAAAAGAAGACAGCCAGCTAACCTATTAGGATACGATTTTAAATTGTCAGCATTAAAATTTTACACACTTCTTGAGTTTGGCGTTTTTATAGTTAGTTAATATTTTTGTTCCTTACTTAAATAGAAATATATAAAATTATATTAAAAAAAAAAAAGAAAA